AAATGACATGTCTTCATTACAGTGAATAGACTCCTGTTTGGAGCAGAGAGTATATTTTGGAGCAATTGCAGTAGTGAAATACTTGAAGTAATCTAATCTGGCAGTGTTGTAAAGGAAGGAAGGAAGGGGGAGGATAAGGAAGAAAGGAAGGAAAGAAGTCTTGTATGCTAAGAGCTTTACAAATATATCTCCTTTGATCCTCACAAGAATCCTGGGAGATAGGAACTATTATGTCCCTATTTTATAATTGAGAAAACATGCAGACAGAGGTTAAGTAACTTGCCCAGGGTCACATGGCCAGTAAGTGTCTGAGGCTGGATTTGAACTCAGGTCTTCCTGTCTTTAGGCCCAGTACACTATCCACTGTGCCACCTATCTGGATTAGAGAGAGAACCAACTGAGCAAATAATAGGATCCCTTGAGTTTTTCCCAAAAGGATATGCCTTTTCTCAGGCTTCATCCTTCTTGACCTGTCAGTAGCATGTAATGCTCTTGACCTCCTGGGTACTCTCATCTCTGGGCTTTTCATGACACCATTTTGTCTTGATTCTCCTCATTCCTTAGTCTCCTGTGTAATGTGATCATTCTTATCTCACCCCCTAGCAGTGAGGGAGCGTACCCCAAGGCTCTGCCCTGTGTCTTCTCTCCGCATAACTCTGTCTCATTAACCTTATCAGCTCGCATGGATCCAGTTACCATCTCTGTGACTCTCAGATCTATATCCAGTCCTTGTCTCTCTCCTTCTCTCATCACCAGCTGCCTCTTGGACACTGCAAATTGGATGCCCTGTAGGCTTCTCAAACATGTCCAGTATGGAGCTCGTTTTCCTCCCAGATTTTCCTCCCAGATCTGCATCTCTTCCAGACATCCTTATTTTTGTTGAAGACACTACCATCCTTCCAGTGACCCAGTTTCACAAGCTTGGAAGCATCTTCTAGTACCCACCCCACATATCCTATTAGTTGCCATGTTGATTTTTTTTTTTTGTGAAGCAATCCAGGTTAAGTGACTTGCCCAGGGTCACACAGCTAGTAAGTTTCAAGTATCTGAGGCCGGATCTGAACTCAGGTCCTCTTGACTCTGAGGCCGGAGCTCTATCTACTATGCCACCTGGCTGCCCCGATTTTGTTGATTTTGCCTCACAAACATCTCCAGCATCTGTTCTCTCTTTCCACTTACACAGCCACCACCTTAGTCCTGGTCCTCTCACCTGGACTGTTGCAATAGCCTCCTACTCAGTCTCCTTGACTCAGGTCTCTCCCCTCCTCCAGTCTGCCCTCCACATAGCTGCTAAAGTGATATTCCTAAACACAGGTCATCCCTCTGAGCAATAAGCTCTCATGGCTTCCTATTAACTCTAATTTAATTAGGAATTAATTAATTCCTATTCACTAATTTAATATTAGCTTCTTATCAACTCTAGGGTCAAATACAAACTCCTCTGACTTTTAAAGGCCCTCACAACTTGGTTCCAACCTGCTGTTCCAGACTTACACATCACTCCCCTTCACACACTTTTTGATGCAGCTGAACCGGCCTTTTGCTGTTACTCATACATGACACGCTCCATCTCCTGTCTCTGGACCTAATCACAAGCTATTCTGTGTTCCTAAAACGTACTCTCTCCTTACCTCCTTCAGAATCTCTAATTTCCTTCAAAGCTCAGGGCAGATGGAATCTTCTACATCAGGCCTTTTTTGATCCTTCCTCTCCCCCAGATGCTAGTGCTTCTCTCTTCCTAAAATACCCTCTGTTTGTTTGGTATGTGCTTATGTGTGTATATGTTGTCTCCTTTTGTGGAATGCGAAAGGTTCCCAGTGCCTGGCATAGTGCCTTACTTACAGCAGGTCCTTAATAAATGCTTGTCGATTGATTGAATGATTGATTGATCTGAAAAATAATTCCCATCCTTTGAAAATTGATGCTGACAAACAGATTGGAAAACCAAATGCTGTCTGGCTGATCCAGAATGATCCCTTTGACCAGTAGTGTCAAATTCAAATAGAAATGGGGGCCACTCATCCATACATAAGGATCCCTGAGGGCTGCATATATTGATTTAGTTTTAAAATGTAATGTTAAATACATTTTATTGTATTTTTATTTATTTTGTTAAATATCTCTCATTTTATTCTGGTTCTGTCTTTGCTGGGAATGTTGTGGGCCACATGTAATTATTTAATTTTTATTGTCTTTGTGTCACACAGTACCTGGTTCATGGTAGGCACTTAATAAATGCTGATTGAGTGATTGATTACTTTCTACACCTTAGGGGAATTTGCCTCTCTAGTCCTATTATTCTGACTCTGGGATCCAGGATGGGAAAATAATTAAATGACTGTGGGGAGACTGTTGTAACAGACAGACTTCTCTTTTCTTTCCATTATTCTCCTTGCTGGAAGGGGCCAGATGTACCCTCTCTTATACTGACCTGTGGCCAGGACCTTCATTTGGAGCTATTTTTCTAACCGTGGTGATAGGTCTGGGCTAGGCCACTGAGACTGTTTCTTAAGTTGATCTCCTTTGTGAGCAAGGAAGTGAATGTGAGAGAGAACTTATGAGGATGCCAGCTATGAAGGAAGAGCATTTATATTGAATCAACCTAAGTAGGGTTTAAGCCTTGATCTCTCTGGCACTTGGGGAATGACCCTAGATTTCTGTGTGTCGCCCAAAGGTTATGCTATAATTGGCCAGGAATAGGAGTGAGTCTAAGAGGAAGTCAGCTCACATGAGGTAAGCTACCCACTGGGGTTTCATGTCTAGGGATTTGCCTACATTTAGAGCCTAGACTTCATCTAGTATAGAGATTCTTAACCCCTTGGAGACCTATGGATAATTTTCCGGTCTATAAATTTCGATGTGGAAAAAAATTACATCATTATTTTCACTAACCTTACTTGAAATTTAGCATTTTCTTCAGTTATAAAAGGTTTTAAAATATTAATCTGAGAAGTGGTCCGTAAGCTTTACCAGACTTCTGAAAGGGCTCCGTGACACAAAAAAGGAGTAAGAACCTGTCGTCTAGTCTGTCCTTCATTTTACAGTTGAGAAAACTGAGGCCCAGAGAGGTTGAATACTTTTCCCAAGGTCACACAGTAAATGGCAGACTTGAGATTTGAACACCAGAGTACTGAATCCAAAGCTAAGACACTTCTGTGTCATACTGTTATCGTTCTCGTCCTTGCTGTCCTCTTTTGCCATCCTCCTCCCTTTCCTTCTTTCTTATTTTTACTCTCTTTGCTTCGTCCTCATCTTTCTCCAGCTATTCAACTCAGTTCTCTACTTCTCTCCCTCTGGATTTTGTTCTCTTAGCATTTCCCTAAGTTCTCTCTTCAGTCTCTTGGCCAGGATCCTTCTCCTTTGTCCTGCTGAGACTTTGGAGGGGTTAAGAAATCACCACCCTCAGGTGTGATTTTTTTTTTATTGAGGAAAGAAGATTTCCATTTGCAAATGAACTGAATGGAAAAACCTAGGTTATAGCTTGTTTTGATGTGTTTTGTTTTGTTTTATGCAAATCTCAAAAGTTCTTTTTCCCCTGCTCTGTGTTCCCTAAGGGGAAGGCGGGGATGGAGATCTCCAAGAGCATTTCCCAATGTAAATATGAGTCTTCAGTTTCATTAATGCATTTAATGCAGTGACTTGAGCTGTCTTATCACCCTACTACATGAGAAACTTTATGAAGACTGGAAATCCTCAGTATGTAGCATGGCACTTCCTTAAGTGAAGAATTGTTGTTCAGTTGTTTCCGACTCTTTGTGACCCCATTTGGGTTTTTCTTGCCAAATATACTAGAGTGGTTTGCCGTTTCCTTCTCCAGCTCATTTTACAGATGGGGAAACTGAGGCAAACAGGGTTAAATGACTTGCCCAGAGTCATAAAGCTCGTAAGTGTCTGAGGCCAGATTTGAACTCAGGAAGTCTTCCCGACTCTAGACTTGGCACTCCATTCACTGTACCTACTACCCAGCTGCACACAGTTGGTACATAATATCTGCTGAATTAGACTGTATCCCTTTTTCCTTACCTAATTTCTTTCAGTCTCCTCCCTCCCTACTCCTCTTTTCTCTCCTACTATTCCTCCTTTTACTATTAAAAGTACTTCTTGATACTTTCTTCTTCCTCTAGAAACACTTTAAAAGTTCACAACTGAACAAGGCACCCCTGCTTCCTTATTCTATATCTTTTCTATCTTTGCTATCTGATTTTCTACTCCAGAAAAAAAGGAGGGGAGGGTGAGCTCAAAATCAATTAATGAACATTTACATAAAGTGGATTTTTACCAGGTGGAAAGTGAAAGTAGCACTGGTGAATGTTTGGATAATTGGGGAGGTGGAATGTCTGGGGAAAGTGTTTTTTTTTTTAAGACAATTGGGGTTAAGTGACTTGCCCAGGGTCACACAGCCAGTAAGTGTGTCAAGTGTTTGGTCTGAGGCCGGATTTGAACTCAGGTCTTTCTGACTTCAGGGCCGGTGCTCTATCCACTGCGCCACCTAGCTGCCCCTTGGGGAAAGTTTTTGCTGTGACTATTTGTACACTGAGCAGTGGGGGAACTGAGAACCACAATTTAAGAGGAAGCCACAAGATAGAGGCAGTTAAAGATCAGGAGAGCTGAGGTGTAATTCTGGCTCTGTCCCTAAGGAATTCTGGGACCTTGGGACGGTACTTCAGCTTTGAGGAGTACCAAGCCCTGCCTAAATGCAAAGTGGCACTGATGCTGGTCAGGATGATGATAATACTGCCACAAAGTGGGAACTCAATGAAGTCATCTACTTCCTTCTTCCTTTCTCTCTCTTGGCACCTGACAGCACACTACTGCCCTCTGCTGTCTGATGGCGGTAGTACCGTCCTCGCTTGAGCTGGGATGCTTTGTCCCAGTAGCCCCTGGCCCCAGCTCTTACTGGTTTGCTGGGCTGTCTCACCTCAGTGTCTCTTGTGCTGCTCCTCACTAACCTCACTCTGCTTTGTCTCCCCCTTCCTCCCTCTCTCTGTCTGCCCCTGCAGCACTGCCAGTAACTCCAACCGCAGCACGCCTGCCTGCTCCCCCATCCTCCGCAAGCGGTCCCGCTCACCCACCCCACAGAGTCCGGACGGAGACACCATGGTGGAGAAGGGCTCGGACCACTCCTCCGACAAGTCCCCATCTACACCAGAGCAAGGGGTACAGCGCAGCTGCTCTTCCCAGTCTGGCCGGAGTGGCAGCAAGAATTCCAAGGTGAGACGGAGGTAACCATGCCCCCAGCCAGCTGAAGGGGAGAGAGGGAGATGGGAAAGGGGGTCGGGACGGTCCTCTGGTCTGAGCCTGTTGGGGTGGCCTCCAGCTCCCTGATACCCTAATCGATGGGGCGGGAGGATGGGAAGGTTGCAGGTAAACACATGTATGACTAAACACACCAGGAATAAATAAATAGTGCCCACAAACCAGTTTTCCCTCAATTTAAGTGGGAATCAGCCTAACTAGGAGCTAGACTTGGAACCCTTTTCCTCCCCACAGCAGGGAGACGCATGGAAGACTGTAGAGGGTTGGGGAGGAGGCCCAGGAATCATGAGGAATTAGAAGACTTTCTTCTCCCCCTCTCCTCCCTCAGGTCTCATTTCAGGATGTGAAGTAGAGGGAATCCTCTTGTCCAGGGGCCCCAGTTGCCAGAGGGAATCAGGAAGGCCCTTCTTTATGTATTTTCTTTACTCCCCTTTCTTTCTTGGACCTGCCATCCCCTTGTTACCAGTCAGCTCAGTGTTCAGTCTCACAGAAAGAGGTTCCACAGGGAATGGGCCCAGTGGGTTGCCATATCATTCCCTTTCCTCCGTTACAGTGTGTTAGCACCCAGACCCTGCATCCTGGGGACTCTGGGTTCCCAAGGTCCAAGGCCCCAGTTAGAACAGGGCAGGGGGAACTCAGTGGTCTAGCTGATGAGTGACTAAGAAAAGGAGAGTTGGTGCTTCTTAGGTCCCCAGACTGTGAGAGTGATGACCAGTCCCTGGGACCGGAAAGATTTCCTCCAAACCTACTTAAGGGATAGTAAATTATATCTACATTCCTCTAGTGCCATTATTATAGAGCCCTGGTGGAGAGTCAGAGACATTTTTTGTCTAGTTGCATGTCAGGGAAGAAAGCCCAATAGTAGGAGTTCATGAGATGGGCTGTCTGTCCCCACCGTCACACTACCCTTCATCCCTGGACCCTAAGGCACTGGGAAGGGGGTGGGAAGCTCTGGGAGTAGGGGTGGGGGAGCTCTCTTCCCACCTGACTTTGTCTCTTGATTTCTTGTTCTTCTTCCCCTTCCTCTCCATCCCCTCACCCCTTCCCTTGCATGCTCGGTCTTAGTCTCACAAGCGCCTCTCAAAAGTAAGACACCATCTCTCTGTCTGTCTTTCTCTCTCTTCCCTCTGCAGTAGAACTGTCTGTAGTGCTCAGCAAACTAACCCTGAAACTGTCTCGCTTGGTCCTTTTCCCAGAGGGGCAGGTTCCATTTCTGTCCTGTCAGGTTGGCTTGAAGTCACTGAGGGGCCATTTGTGTTGTACCAGAGACCTGAGAACAGGCCCACTCATCACACCTGGGATTACTGTACCCACTGATTCACTCCCTGCTTCCCAGATACAGCCTCCTACTGACTGCATTACTCTCAATTCCCTTCTTATCTGGTGCTGACTATTGTTCAGAATTCTACCAGTGGCAGCTTCATTTATTCAAGGAATGGAGGGTACATCCCTAACTATGGAATCCCTACCTTAGGGAATCCTATTAGACTCACCTATGGGTCTTAAGCTACCATACCATGGTGGTTTGGCTGGGGCTAGGGGTTGGGAGAAAGATAATATTTATGAATTCATGGAGTGTTCTAATGGTCCCCCATCATGTCTGTTACATATCAGTGACCTCAAGAGACCCACCTGAACATCCCCTCTCCCTCTTACCAAGTCTTTCAGAGCAGCTCAGCTTAAGCATCCCTTATCAACATCCCTTATCCCCCCCAGCCCCACCCCACAGTCCTATGGAATGTGGGTAGTCTTGGGCTCTTGGATCTCGATCGGGAAATGGAATGCACCCACTGGTAGGGCATGGTACCAGTGCCCCGAGGTTGGGGAGCTGAAAGTAGTTCCGGTCAGACCCTATGTGGATGTATGGAGTGATCTCCAGTAACTTTATAACTTCAGAAGGATGTGGGGAGCCTGGAAGGAAGTCCAGGGATGAGTACGAGGCAGGATCATTCAACTTGGGAAATAAGCCGAGGAACAGAGGCGCGAGATCTCAAGAGATTCTTTAGATCTAAAGAAGAGAAGGCCAAGGATTGATTTGTTAATAGTCTTTTACTATTTGAAAGGTTATTTGGGAGAAGATAGAGTGTACTTGTTCTCCCCCTCAGTGGAAGAAAATTTGAAAAAATGAGGCTTAAGATACAACAGGGAAGATTTAAGTTAGCGATATGAGATACTGGTCCTGGATCATAGGCTCCAGAGATTTAGAGTTGGAAAGGACTTCAGAAGCCTCATATAACTCTTTGTTTTTCAGATTTAAATGTTTCCCTCAGCTTTTATCTAAGCCCTTCATATTACAGATGAAAAAACTGAGGCCCATAGAGATTAAGTGACTAGCCCAAGATCACGAAGGTACTAATTAAATGGCAGAACCAGGACTTGAACTACAAATCCAGTACTCCTTCTACTCTATGGAAGTGGAGAATCTCTTTTCCTCCAAGATATTGAAGGCAAAGTGGCACATTTTATGATTTTTAGTGGTGTAGTCATGCCTGAAGTTAAAGAGCTGGCTGAGATCACCTCAAACAGCCTTTCCAAGTTCAAGGAATACGATAGCCCCTAGCAGCCTGCCCAGAGTGAGGAGAGGTCAGCTTCAGAGAATTTGGACTTCCCCATGGTAGATACTTGCTTAAAACAAAGTCATTTTTTTCCCCTCTTTCCTTGGGATGCCGTTCAGAAAACCCCTTGACCTCCAGCCCTAGCAGAAGTTCCTCTACAGGGAAGGTGCTCAGTGTATGATGGCTGATAATGATGCCAAGATGCTTATTTATGGAGAACTTGATTGTGTATTGGACCCTGTTATTTTCTTTCTGTCAAGAAGCCTCTGCATTAGTAAAGGAGAAAGAATATATAACCAAAAAACTATAGTGAAGTCACCGTATGATAAATCTCATATGAATGGTACAAACATAGTGGGGTCTAGGTGAAAAGGCTTTGTGGAGAAGGTGGTACCTGAGTTGGGCCTGAAAAAAAAGTAGGTAAAACTTTGATAGACAGAACAGATGGGGGGTGGGGCTGGGGCTGGGGGACCTGGAACCATGTGGAACCAGTGAATCAGCCAATTCAGTCAGACAGTAAACTATCTAAAAGTAAAAGTATCCACTTTGTACTAACTATATTGATGGAGAGTCAAAGACAGTAATATAATAGTTCATAGCCTCACTGAGCTTTTAGTCTGGGAGGGAAGATAAGACATATACGCAATCATGGTACAAAAGAAATGATTTTAAGTTCATGAAAAGGTCTGAATAAAGTTCTCTGGAAGTTCAGAGACCACATAAGTAGGGAACATCATAGAAGGGATGAAGGAAAAGATAATATTTGAGTCAGGCCATAAAGAACTTAACCAGTGAAGACTGTAAAGGAAGGACATTCCTTTTGTAGGTAATTACATGAGCAAAAGCCTAGAGGTGAGAAACTTCAGGGCACGGTCAGGATATTTTCTAGTTTTGTTGGTTTGCAGAGCTTGTGAAGAGATTGTATGAGATACAGCTGGGAAGGTAGGTTAGGGTCTGACTAGAGAAACTTGTCAAGATTTTGGACTTTAGGTCAAAGGCAGTGGGAAAGTATAAGGAAGATGTGTTGGAGAGGATGAGACTGGAGGCCAAGAGCCTGGTGAAGAGGCTGCTGTAATTAGTGAGCTGTGACCATGGGTAATGAGAGCCTGGTCTAGGGTGGATCTATTGCTTCCCAGTACAAAACTGAGACCGATATTTTCAGGATACAGTGGTATGAGATTAGATAGTGAAGAATTTACATCCTACACAAGGGAAGTGGGAAGAGCGTCATCAGGATGAAAAGAAAAATCCTTGTGAGTGTTTTGCCCTAGTAGTGTAAGGTAAGGAGGAGGCTGCAGAAATGGGGCAGGAGGAACCATCAGTGAGAATGCCCTACTTCGTCTCTTCTATCTCCTGTCACCCAGAAGTAATAAGACATTATCTGGAGGAGACCAGAGTGAATTGAAGGCAGGATGCGAAACATCCAGGCCCTCATTTTACTCCTCGTGGCCTTACCTCCCCATCTAGCACCCCTCAAGGAAGTCTTGCCATTACCTATCCATAGAGGCAGACGATACCTTAAAAATCACCTAGTCTAACCCTGTCATTACAGATGAGAATCAGACTCAGAGATCAGAGAGTGACTCGCCCTAGTAGCAAAGGTAGAATTCTGCCACAGACCCTGTGACTCTAAAACTTACCTAACTACTCCCTTGGTCCCTAAATGAGCTAGACAGTTCTCCTTTTTCTGGCCAACACCGGACTTTGGCTTCATGAACAGTTCCCGGCTTAGATGTAGCTCTGCTTAGGGGCTACTAGAGTGTGTTGTTTCCCTCCTGAATCAATGGGTATATTCCCAGAGCATCTCCGGTGGCTGAGATGCTCCAACCCCCAGTTCTGTAGTAATGCTTTTCAACCACCAGGGGGAGCCACAAAACTTGATTTCAGCTTGCATTTCCCAGTGGAGATGGTTAGTCTGTAGTCAGTGCTGGGTCCTGCTCAGCAGAGCTGCCCTTTAAATGTTGCAAGCCCTAATTCAGTGACCTATCCCCATTGACCACAGCCTGTCTCCCCCTGTGCTTACTATGTTTGCCCAGTCTGTGACTCTCTTCTTTGGCCTCTGTGGCACTGACTCCCCTTTCTCCTTTGTTTTACGTTTCTCTTCTTTTCCCCCTTCCCACCCTTCAGTTCTAATTTTTCTGATTTTCTTTCCAGTATGACAGACTTAACCTGATCAAAGTAAGGAGTCATTTTTTCTCAACCCCCACTGACTGTCCAGCTACCAGTGTTATCCTTTAGTCTTCTCCTTCCTCTTCTCTTTGCTCACTCTGCCCACCCATTTCCCTAGTATTTGATAGATCTTTCCAGCTGTCAGGGCAGCAGGCAATGCCAAGATAACTTCTCATCCTTTTTCTGTCCATCTTTGGTTCCTTTAGCTGTTCTCTCACTTCTGCTGAAGAGGGTGAGAGGGTATTCCCTCCCTCTTGCCATACTGCTCCCTGTACCCTTCTCCTGTAGGTCTGCCATTAAAGTAGTTCTCCTGATTCTCCCTCCCCTGTAGCCTAATATTAAAAGCTTCCCAGATCCCATTCCCTGACCCCTCATCCATTTGTAGAATCCATCCCTGTGTCCCACCTCCCTTAGTCCTCTTCTGCCTTCTGGTCCTTACCTCTTGTGGTAAAGAGGACTTAGAAAGAAGCATTATCTGGGGTGGGTTAAAGCAGAATAGCCCATTCACTTGCAAAAGCAAGATATCTACCTTTTCAGTCTCAGTAACCAGGTGATGGAGTTGATAACGTCTGCAACCTCTTGTAGTCAGGACCCATGCTAAGACAAGCTTGGATGAAGTAGGAAACAGAGACAGGAGAATCAGTCTAGATGGCAGGGTCCTGGGCCTCCTGGAGCTTGGCAAGGGCTGGGCAGGATCAGAGCCCCATACTGGTGAAAGCAGGAGGGTGTGTGTGTGTGTGTGTGTGTGTGTGTGTGTGTGTGTGTGTGTGTGTGTGTGAGACAGACACAGAGAGAAACAGGGAGAGAGAGGGAAGGAGAGAGGAAGAGAGAATTAACCTTGGCCATGCTACAGGGACAGTATTTCTAACCCCATAGTCTCGAGTGGTGTCAACTTCCTTCAAGAAGAGAAAATTAGTTTTCGAGATTGGCTGGATTTTGCCCAGTTAATTAAAAACCCCAGGGTGGGAGAAGAGAATGTTGAGATGAAAGTATGAAGTCACGTGATGTTGGGTAGACTCATGAAAATCTTTGTCTGGGATGCTGAGGAGTCAGCCTGCCCAGCTGCGTGATAGTATGGCCTTAGGCAGGGTGAAGCATATAGGATAATATTAACATGAGCTTATATTTATATGTTACTGGATGGTCACAAAGCACTTTTCATACATGGTGCCATATGTCAATCAGTCACATTTATGTAGTACTTTAGAAAGAGAACTGGTTTAGGATCCAGGAAGATCTGAGTTTGAGTATCCACTTCTGACACATACTGGCTGTGTGACCCTAAGCAAGTGGCTCTCATTACTCTGTGTAACTCTCAAAGACTGTAAATTGCAAAGAAGAAACCAGTCCCCATTGCTAAATAGAGTCCCTCTTCTGGGAGTTCCCTTTCCCAATGAAACCACCTGTCCACTTCCTCTCCCTATAGTATTTTACAGCAGATCAACACTATCATTAAAACCATAAGTAATGCAAGGATTCTCATGCCCATTTTATAGGTGAGGAAACCGATGTTAGCAGACATCAGGGACTTGCCCAGGGTCACACAGTGAGTGTGGATTAGCAGAGGAGGGGTGTTGCGGTGAAGCAGGGAGAGATAGGTCAGGACTTGTGGCAGGTCTGCCAGGGCTCCTTCGAGCATACCATATTGTCCAGCCTTGCTTGAATAATATACCTAGGAGATAAGTTGTATTGGCTTACTATGCCCCCTTGTAATCCCCTTTAACCAGGGAATAAGGAGCTGGTCCTGACTTTTCTGATTTTTTAAAAGCTAGAAGTGGGTGAAAGAGGTGAGAAATCTTAGGGTCACTGGGTGGCAGCTGCAGCCCTCATTATACATACCCACTCATAGCCTTCATCCCCCTTCCCCCTCTTTGTACACAGGCGTACATGAGGATGAAAGCATATTATATGGAAGATGAGCTTCCTGAGGCTAGCTGGCATTCTCAGATTCCGAGACTTAGGGGGATAACTAGCTAGCTGGGGCTTCCCTCTTCCATCTTTCACCAAGGGAAATTCTCTGATTCTGAAACCCTGATTCCTCCAGCAAAGCTAATTCAAGTGGAGGAAGTCATTCTTACCCAGGCTCCTTCTCTGGGAATGGGGTAAGGTTGCAGACACACAACAAAAGGGGCAGAGAGCAAGGCTTTCTCCAGGACTCTTGAGAGAAGGTATTTTCAGTCTACTCAGAGGGCCCTTAATTGTGTATCCCAGACCAGCTTCCTCTTCCTCTTTGTGGCAGAGCCTTAGCACTCCATTTAGACAAGCTCCCTTTGGCCAGGGTTGGCAGAAAGGACAGCAGAGGACAAGTCTCTGTTTTGTTTTATAAATTCCCTAGGAAATAAGTTAGGTCCGGAGCTTTCATCCTTTCTCTTAGATCAAGATTTGAATGAGGGAGCCTGCATGCAGCAGTCCCACCCACTGGACTGCTCTCCCATCCCACCCACCCTAGAGAGGGGCTGCCTTGGAGCACAGGGTGGGTGGAGTTTCTCTCTGTACTTTGCTCCAGCTTGGACAGCTTTAGGGCAAGGTCCCTGATGCCACAGAGAGCATCCCTGTCCTCTATCAGAAGACCCTGGGGTTTCTGATGGGGAAGCCTGTCTGTGTTCTAGCTATTGCTGGGGCTGTTGTCCGGCTGCCACCCCAGCTTCACTGGGGATTCCAGCATGCATTGCTCTGGGGTGGGATGTGGCTCTTTTCAGGGACCCTTTACTCCCTCACTTTGAAAAAAGGAGGACCTCCCTTTGCCCGTAGAATGGATATTAAACTGCTTTCAGACTCCTGCCTACCCTACCTTCCTCTGCTGTTCATGTAACTGCCCTGCCACCTCCCCGTCCCCACTGCCTTGAGCCATTGATGCTCTGGCCAATCTTGCCATCTCTACCCAGACTAATTTTACCTTCTCTTTTATTTTGTCCTTTCAGAAAAGCCAGAGTTGGTATAACGTAAGTACTCGTGTTTCTCTTCACTCTGGGTACATGTAAGGTGGGTGGGGGCGGGGTTGAGGGAGGCAAGGGGTTGAGATGGTCTGGTGGTCAGCTTGGCCTTCATCCTAGGACTGCAAGCACAGAGGTCAGGGAAGTGGGATTTCTCTCCTTGCCTATCCCCTCCTTCAGAAACTTCTGCCACACAAATATCACTGCCCCAATCCAGGATACATTTGGTATAGGGTTATTTAGGAATGTCAAACTGAGCTGTTTGGCTCTGCTCTATTTCCAGGAAGATAACACTTTGCCTTTTGTCTAGGACTCACTGGGTATTGCTAGAGAAATGGGTAATTTAGTGGACAAAATGGTTTTCTGGATGAAGGCATAGTCCTAGGGCTATATAACAGAGAGTCAGCTTAGGGGTCTGGGATTGGGGGCAGAGAAGGTTTTTGGGAAGATGAGTGGTCATGGTAAGGGCAGGGGGTGGGGCTGGGTCACATGATTTGGGGTACAGGGTAATTTCTATCATGTGGCATGTTTGCCTCACAAATGATATTTTAAAGAATCAGGTACTGAATTTAAAAAGGAAAATGGGACTGGGTTTACAAAGGCAGTAACATGAAAGTTGGTTAGAAGGGGAAGCTCAAAACCTATACTTCAGAAGCTTTGACTCCATGAAGGACCCACAGACAAAATCAAGAACAGATAAGTAAAGATGTTATAGCCCGTGGTTCAGAACATAAAATTCAGACTAAACTGTCAGGGAAGGCAGATAATGAAAGAACAAAGGAAAGCCAAACTTCTTAGGTATAGCAAAAGAAAATTAATGAAACTAAGAAGCTAGAGGGGAACGAAGATTTTTGAACCAACAAGGAAGAGAAGAAAAGAGAAGAAGTAAATAACTAAATACCTGTTTTAATGACCAGACCTGTGATTTCAATGATGTTAACTCCTGGTGAGTAACTTCTTCTACAAATACAGGTCAGCATATTCTCTGCAATCAATAATCTTAGTGAGTTGCCTGGGCCTCTGAGAGGTTGTGACTTTTCCTGGGTCACATAACCAGGATGTGTCAAAGGCCTTGAACCCAGTCTTCCTCAACAGGACTCTTTATGACTCAGAAGCCAGCTCTGTTTCCTCTGCTGGGGGAGGGGGGAAGAAATTAATATTTTAAGGGTAGGTGAGGCATAGAGTAGCAGGGACTAGGGTGGAGGGGAGAGAGGAGAATAGTTTCCACCTTCTAGGAACTTATTTGTAACTGCATAGGTTGGGGAAGAAAAACAAATGAATCCTCCTTGAACACTTCTCCTCACTTCCTGATTGATATCTGGGGAACAGATGCTGAGAGAGTGCTGAGAGAGGTGTCATCACGTTGGTTGTGCTGAAATGACCCTCAAGATTTTAAATCACCTTCTGGAGTGCTGTTGGCGAGTTACACGACTGGGCTTCCTGCTCAGCTGTACTTTGTCCTTTGAGGTGGCTCAGTGGGGATTTGCATTAGGAGATAGGAGTCGGAGTGACTGGCTTGACCTCATTTTGTACCTTATTATGCTTCTTAATCCCTACCCTCACATCTCCTCAGCCCTCTCTGTATCACCTTGTCTCTCTTACCAGAAACCTGGAGCCAGAAGCTGTTTCTGGAGAAGGACCATCGTCCCATCTCCTCTCCCCTCAGCCTTTGTAGTTCTTTGACCACCCTGAAGAGACAGTGTTTATGTGTGGGGAGGGAGGAGAGGGAAGAGTGTAATAAAGAATATTAGAGCAGAGATTCCCCTTTGGTGAGGGAAGTAAGAGATGTTGTACTGACCCCTTGGTTAGGGGAGGGAGAGAGAGAGAGAGAGAGAGAGAGAGAGAGAGAGAGAGAGAGAGAGAGAGAGAGAGAGAGAGAATGTGCAAGTGCTAGAGCCTAGATGCAATTGTAGGGACTTGGGCCAAAATCAATACAGGCTTTTGTATATCCATGTTTATGTACAATGATGTTCTAACATCAAGCACACATCAATTCCCGTGAGATCTTAAAGGTTGTTCTCCTGTGCTATTAAGTGTCCATCCCATAGTGAACTGAGCTTAAGGATTCATGGCCCTCTGTGTCACAGTGAATCCCTAGAAGTCAGGCAGTGAGGCCGATGGGGTCTCTCTTCTTCCTTTAGTTTGGGTTGGGATAGGAGAGAGACAATAAACTGCTGCATTCCAGGGTATCCCTCCCCTATCCCTACCCCCCATATCCCCATTTGTGAAGCCAATACATTGACCTTGGGATCTGAACTCTGCTTTCCTTGTCCTTTTATTCAGGACAGGGTTATTAACCAAAGAGAAAAAAAAGACCCTTTTGTTTAGAGATGGAAATGGGGGTTGGGTGGGCAGCCTGCCTTCCTAGGAGCTAAATACCCAAGGCAAGGAGTTTGTCTGACTCATCCAAGCTTCCTTTTGGGGTGCCAGGAATTTTTCTGACACCTGACCCCCACCTACCTTGCATCCACGGGAGCTGTGTGCTGTATGTCCCACAAGGAAAGGAGGAAAAAAGCTGAAACAATGAATGACTAACTAGATAATTAAAATAGTTTTCTTATCAGAATTTGACAGACCCACCTCTCATTCCTGTGATCTCTGACCTCATTCTCTGTCTTTTCTTTGCCTTTTAGACTTCAGATTTTTTCCTTACTTTTCTCCTATTCTTTCTTTCCCCTCCTTTTTCTTTTCCTTTTTCCTCTTTTCTGCTCTGCTTGCTTTTTCTCCTTTCTACCTTCCCTCCTTCCCTTGAATTCTTCTTTTCTAGCTTTCTTTCCCTCTTTTCCCTTTCCCTTTCACTTCCCTGCCTTGTTCTTTTTACCTCAGTTTCCAAGCATGAGTGGGCCAAAATTGCTAGCAGTCAATAACAGAGATGGGGGTTCTAGAGATAGATCATGTCTCCTGACCAGAAAGATGTGAGAGGCTGCATTCTACAACCAGGGACCCAAATGTCAGGGGACACTGTTTCTCAGACATTCCTGTTTTGGGTCCTAGGTAGCCCCTGAAGTTCTGATGATGAGCAGACATGTTAGAAGATATCATACCAACTGGAGACAGCCTAGTTTGATATGAGGTTCCAGATAGATTCCATCTGCACCTAGAAATGCTGAAAAGCTGCATCTCCTCCTGTTCAGTCCTTACAGATCAGTCTTCCCACACAGGTTTCTTTCTTTTACCTGCAGTGGTAGCCTACTCTGGAAAGCCAAATGAGTTAATTTTACTCAACACAAATCATTAGCTCACTGTGAGCTTTTATCAGAGGTACCTTAAATTGTTCCTTACATGTCAAAATTCCTTCTTGTGTAATTTCCCATTGGAGGTTCCTTCAGGGACCCAGACATGACAGAATTTGGGGCTTACCACAATCAGCCTTTTCTCTTCTTCCTGCCCAGCCCACCAAACGCATACACACTCATACATCCCCTCTGCCTCCCCTAACCCCACCACTAAAATGCTCAAGTTTCCTTGTCTACTTGGTTCTAGCTCAGGGCCTCCAGTAGTGGTGGTGTCCTTTTATCTACTGCAGGCCCTCAGCCCCGCTTGTCTCTTGGTCCTATTGAGATGGGCTGTGTACTTGGTAACAGCGTTGAGGAAGGATGTGGGTCAGGTAAGGGAGAGAGGACATAGCTAAATGATTATGGCTGATGAGAGAAATAGCACGTGGACAGGGGCCTCTGTTCCTGAGGAAGAGAGGTAGGAGGTAGAGACAAGGAGCTAGATGAGTCTCATGGGAAGGTGGTAAGGAAAGCCAGTCAGGTCCGGGCCCCTCAGGTAGAGAGCCCTGTTGTGCTGCATGCTGCTCAGACTCTATGGTTCTCAATGTTTGATATCCTTTCTCTCTCATCTTTCTGTTTTTTCTCCATGTGTTTTTCAGCATGAGAGACAGCACATCCGGAGAGTAAGCACTGTGTGTATTTATTGTAGTTCCTAGTGCCCTCGAGGGGCCAGCTGAAAGCAGTTCTGGGAATTGGGCTGGGTGGACTGCCTCTCCCCCTCCGAGCCTGGCTTCTTTTGGAGGACCCTATTCTGGCCGTAGCCTCAACTGGGGATATATAGTGGAAGTTAAACACTGCCAGTGCCATAAGACAGTCACGTTCTCCTAGGCTAACCTTACATTGTGGTTAGACCCAAAGCTGGGGAAGTCATTGTCTTCATCCACATGGCAGAGGCCTACACATACTTCTCCAAGCAAACCTGAGTGCCTGAATAATCCCAGTTATGTGCCTACATAAATCTGTGCTCTCATTCTGTGCACATACCTCCCTACATACTGGCATCGTACCACACCCACCAGATACCTGCTGATGTGCAAGCTCTCACGGATGCGTGAGCCCACTTCAGATAACATCAGAAAGGCATGCCAACCCTTTTAAAGGAGTCTTCATGTGATTCCAGTGAGCAGATCTTTGCCCTGGCCCTGCTGCTTTGACCTGGTTTTCTTGATATTCCCCTCTGAGCCTGTTTGATCCTCCCAATCAAGGGGCAGCTAGGTGGCACAGTGGATAGAGCGCTGGGCCTGGAGTCAGGAAGTCCTGAGTTCAAATCCAACCTCAGACACTTACTAGCTGTGTGACCCTGGGCAAGTCATTTCATCTCTATCTGCCTCAATTTCCTCAATTGTAAAATGGGAATAAAAATAGCACCTACCTCCCAGGATTGTTATGAGGATCAAATGAGATAATGTTTGTAAAGCACTTAGCATAGTGCCTGGCGCATGGTAGGTATGTAAATGCTTGCTCCCTTCCTCTTCTCCATTTAAATGCTGCATCTATGATGCCGGTCTTTTCTAGAATGGTTCCTTTTGCCTCTCCTTTTTCTCTTACCTTTCCTTTCTTAGATCTGTCAGCTAACTTCCCTTTTTCAGAACTCTTCCTCAAAGTGGGGGGAGACAATGCCAATATGCCATTGCCAGTACAGTTACCTAAGGTGCCAGCACTTAGGGCAGAATCTCCCCAAATTACTAAGTCTTGGGCTGCCCCAGATACAGAGCCAAAGAAAGACTTGTATCC